GAATATGTGCACGAGAAGTTATGTTTATATGATTTAATTCAACGATTGAAAGATTTCGAGAAACGAAAGAAAAATAATTTTTAGAATTAGTATAAGTATCAAAAATAAAATCATTTACTATGAGATACGTTGTTGTTTAAAAACTATATTTAGGATAGATACAATCATCAATTATTAGCTCGAAGATTCTCAACATCAAATTTAAGAAAAATAATTCTTATTTAGAGAATGAAACAAATCTTAAATTTCTGTAATATTTTAGTTTGGAAACATTTAAATATTAGTTAAAAATTTGCGAGAAAGATTTCAAATAAAATACATGGAAGAATAGATTGAACATTTTTATTTTGTATAAAAATGACACTATATTTTTAGTACATAAATACAATAAACTATATCAGATATTTATTTCATGCTTGAAAACAATTTCAAAAAAATGTTTTATGTTGTTCAGCACTCAAAATTGTTTCTAATTAATCGAAAATAACTTCTAACATTAAAATCTAAAGCAATCTTTTTACTTTATGGAAGTAAATAAAAGCTAATGTTATATCCTCTTCAATTGTTCTCCTATTATCATTTTTTCTCTTTACTGTTTCACTGTAAACCTTTATTTCAATTTATAATTATAATAAACTTTTGATTATTTGAAAGTCTTTGAAATCAAGAAAAAAAGATATCAATTCTCTCCCTCTTTTCGCTATCTTATCGATTATTTTATCAGAAGGATTATTCCAATTGTTTAAAGTAGTGCCTTAAAAGGCTATAAAGGGATGTTATACGGCAATGATTTTCATATTATTTCTCTGTAATCCATCACTAGAAAAAAGCTATTATTTATAATACGAATTTCATTGTTTTTTGAGCTAATAGGGACGGCACTGTTTGCTTGAATCTGGATTTATTTCAATGAAAAAAAAAATGATAGAAATCAAGAGTAAACGTCAAATATAATTCTCGATGAATGTTCAATTTCAATAGATATCAGCTCGCTATCAATTGCAAAAAACTGAGACGATCCGATAACACAATCATCAGTTCAAACAAAATTGAACTCAGCGTTGAACTCATTCAAAAAAATTTAGCGGGGATCACGAAGTGATTAAAATCGAACATCAGTAGCTAGCCATAGTTGAATTTAACTATCTGATGCCGACGCCCTATTCCTTGTTCCATGACCCTCGTGTAAGATATCACGATGTTATTGACATTCCAAGATTTACACTAAAACAAAGCATCTCAGAAATCAGCAAAGTGCAAGAATCAATGCCAGTATAGCTTACAACCATCGCCGTACCAAAACCCAGTATTTCAGATGAAAACCCTACTTTTTCTTCGACAAACCTTGCTCAAAATATCATTAATGGATAGAGAATTTAATTCAGAATCCGGTCCAAGTTTGTCAATATATTTCACAGAAATAAAAATAAAATAAATCTAATACCGAACAAATTAGTTAAAAATAAGGAGATTATACTATATATGTTGATATTCTCCTTATTTTTTATTGATTACTTGTAATCGAGACAATCATTATCTAAACTCGCAGTATATTATCTCAATTCAATAAGAAAAAAGAATACAGCAATAAAGCATTGTATTTTCATGAAACATTTAATTCTTAGTTACAACGACTTATATTACTTACACAATGATCAGATGAAGATTTGAAGTATCCATTGAGAAATGTTCAAGAAGTAAGTGTATCATCTCTGCCACAATCATCATTGCATACTATAAAATTAACAAAAAAAAAAGATTAATGTAAGTTTTTGAATTCTATTAAATATTATTTTCAAAGAATTTTTGTGAAATGCATCGATCATTTGAACACCGAAATTGATTCTTTTCCTCTGAACAAGAAAACAAGAATTTCCATGAAAAGAAAAAATGATTATCATCAAAAATTTAATAATTTCCTTTTTTTTTTGTTTTAAAACGTAACTAACTAACGGGTGGGGCAAAAGTTTTGCATTAATTTTGTTTTTAATATAACTCTGCAATGGAACGTTGTAGAGACTTGATTTTTTTTTCATTAGAAAGAGCAAAGTGTCTACTACAAAACTCTATAAAAGACTTTGATTGGAAACGTTTTTTGAAAGTGATAGAGGTCTTAGAACTATAGAACCCGAAAAACTATTCCGCAACTTTTTTGAATTTAGAAAAATTTTTTTATAGTTAGACAGGTTATCTTTTTATTCGTTCGATTCGACTTATATTAATAGCTCAAGCAATACTTTCGCATTAGATTTGTTTCCGTTACAGCTTCGCCACAAAATATTTTCCACCTCTGGTTTATATATTTCATTAAAAAAAGAGCAATGATTAAAGTACAAAAAACATTTAATGACAAGTTGAAAAAACACCTTCACGCCACATTTTTCGAAGTTTACTACGAATATCAAACATCATATCTTGTATCATTCTTTTATCAAGTTCTTTGATTTTTTCTCTTATACGACGAGCAAGTTGATCGAGACTTTTTGCTTCATAATTTTGTGCGTACACCTTTTGCTTCAGTATACCCCATAAGTCTTCAATTGGTCTTACTTGAGGTATATTAGGAGGATTTTTTTCCCTTGATACAAAAGGTATATTTTTTTCTTGCAATGTATGTAAAACTTGTGGTGTATAATGGGCCTTTGCTAAATCAGGCTAGAAAATGAATTCTTGTTGCGAATGATACTGGTCAATAAAAGGAATTAAAAGACGTTGTATACATTGTTTTGAATAAACATCACCAGTTACAGCAGTCTTGCTTTTGTGTATATATGGCTTCGAACATCCTTTAGCAGATATTGCTAACCATACCAAAAGTTTGGGTTCAAATTTTTGATGTTGTTTATACTTTATATTAGCTGGTGCAGTAGATGGATCACTTGTATAATACCATGCGTTTCCAGGTATATCAACTCCAGTTAAACTGAAGTATTTCTCATCATCCATAATAATGAAACAATTTTTTGGAATTAGACGATACAAATAACCACAGTTTTTTTGTGCACGTTTTTCCTGTTCTTTAACATATTTCGGTGCTTTTATACGTTTTCTTGGTCGAATATTTGTTCGTTGTTTTAAATTTCTACCAATTGTTCTATAATGAACATCATAATGTATTGATAAGGCTCGATGACTAATACCACTCTTGTTATTCAAATTACATGCCATTGTTTTCATTTGTTTGTCGCTGAGTTTTCGCGGACGACCAGATCTTGGTAAATCTTTTGTTGTTTTACATTGTAAATATCTTTGGATAATTCTATATATAGTTGAATAACAATAACCTTGTCTTTTGAAAAAATTCCATGTAGTTTTCAAATCACCACATGCAGCATCATGATAAAAATTTACGACACGTAATCTAAGTGTTTCTCGTTCGTCCTTCTTCATTTCGAAGAGAAGCACATATGGCAATTGAACCAATATAGGTGCATATACTATGAATCATTTTCTGTCTAATAGAAAAGATTGAACAGTCTACGATATTCCCACGTGGTATAAAAAGGAAAAGGAAATCAATGAACAACGATCGTCACATCCATTCATGATAGAAAATTTTTTTTCTAAATTCAAAAAAGTTGCGGAATAGTTTTTCGGGTTCTATAGTTCTAAGACCTCTATCACTTTCAAAAAACGTTTCCAATCAAAGTCTTTTATAGAGTTTTGTAGTAGACACTTTGCTCTTTCTAATGAAAAAAAAATCAAGTCTCTACGACGTTCCATTGCAGAGTTATATTAAAAACAAAATTAATGCAAAACTTTTGCCCCACCCGTTATCAGTAGGTATAAACAAGAACTACTACGAAGTATTTCTGACATACAATAGTATGCACAATTTTCTTCATTTAAAGAAACTTTAAGTAAAACAAGATTGTATTTGTAGATAATCATATTATGATTAAAATCTAAACGACAAGAGAGTTATGTTAGTTTTTAAATGTTTTGAATTTTCGGTCAAAATCATAATAAAGACTACTAAAATCTTATATCATGATATTATAAACAGAAAAAAATATGAATCTATAAATCGATGATAAATTTCAATTATCTACTTCTAAATAAAACGGCAACAGCAAAATCAATTCTGGAGAGTTTTTGTCAACATAAGTACATCACGTGAGGAGAAACATTTTTTATGAGTAAATGACGTTTGATCGAAGACAAATTTAAAATTATGTTCAAGGGAAAGAAAAACAAAGATAATTTATCTAATCAAGTGAATAATGAAGAACCTATACGATAAGGTATATGATAAACGTGGTTTACTTAATGTATAGTTATTATAAAAGGGTTTTTTTTTAAATACCTCACATATATAACAGTAGATTTAATGTCTTCATTTAACCCTTTCCGGCCGGCTACCCGAAGATAGCAAGCAAAAAATTCTTCTTCTATATATTCTTTGTCTTTTAGGTGTGAAGGTTACCGAATTCCATCTTGGAGTTTAAAGAACTGACACTGAGCCGTATGCCAACATGTTGCCTTTTGGCAACATCCGGCCATAAGGGTACAAAAAGTTGGGAAAAGTGAATTACTTTTCCTCGATGGAAGCCCAATAATTTGGTGTTAGTTTTAACCTAGACTGTGAAAGAAAAGCATATTTTGTTCATCTGCCCATTTCTTACAGTCTTATGGTACGATATATCCCAACAATACTCCAAAACTGATCAAAATAATGTAAATTTCACCAATTTTTCCCAGGGAAGTTCACAAATTTAGTGATATTCTAACAAGATTCGTAATATTTTATAATAGTCTGAATAGGAATACTATAATGTGCTGTAAATCTTGTTAGAATCTCACTGAATCTGTGAGCTTCCGTAGGGGAAATTGGTGAAATTTACGTTATTTTGATCAGTTTTGGAGTATTGTTGGAATATATCGTACCATCAGACTGTAAGAGATGAGCAGATGAACAAAATATGCTTTCCTTTCACAGTCTGGGCTAAAACTAACACCAAGTTATTGGGTTTCCATCGAGGAAAAGTAATTGACTTTTCCCAACTTTTTGTACCCTTACGGCCGGATGTTGCCAAAAGGCAACATTTCGGCATTCTGTTCTTCGAGTATGCTGAATAATTCATCTTATTGGTCTAATAGATAATGGATCTGGAGAGGAAAATTAACCACTAGTCACTTCTCGCATCGAATGCTCGGACAAATGGAAAACAGATCATTTCGACTCGGAGATTGTTTTGGGTCTTGGCGAGAGAATTCATTCCTCTCATCAATAATAGCTTTCTCCTTTCTTGTGAAGGCATAGATTTGCGCTAGAATGCGTGTAGTTAATTATCAAATCAATTAAGGAATTATATCTCATCACTTTAAGATAAATCCCAGGTTGATATTGGCAAAATGTTGCCAAATGGCAACATCCGGCTGGAAAGGGTTAAGGATAAAAGTGGACTGGCAGATGTTGAAAATTGTAAAATCAATTCTTCTTATATTTTTGAAACTAATTGATTAGTAACGTGCGTTTTTCTTATTATTGAAAAAAAGCACAAATGATAAATTATTATATGCTTAGCTTCTTTTGTTAACATATTCAGCTAAGATCTACTCACCTAAATAATAAAATAGAAAAGCACTTTTAAATAGAATCAATATCAAGTTTTATTTTTTATTTACTAATAAAACGTTCTTTTTTTTGCAGATCGATTCCATTTAATAATATGTCTCATGGATATAATGCTGAAAATAATATCTCAAACGAAGTCTTTGATTGATTTTCTTTTAATAACGTCTGCATTTTATTTAAAAAAAACGCTTCATATCAAAACTTCTAGTATATAAATGTACCCATTATTCTGCTTTGTTAATATTCTAATTCAATACATTACACGTTGAAACTTAACATATCATGTCTCATTATAGAAGTATTTTAAATAAGAATATTAAAAATGAACATTCTTCAATTGGGAAAATTGTTTTGTTTTATGTTTATACTCTATGAACTTTGTTCTTTCAAAAAACAATGATGAAATGAATAGAATATTATATTGTTAAGATCTTGATTTATATACTTTTCTTCAGACTTTTCGATTGTTTATTCTTTAAAAAAGATATAAAATCAATTTATTGATTATTAATTATAATTTAATTGAATGACTGTTATTTTTTTATTTGATTATCTTAATTTTCCTTTTTTAAATTAATCTTGATAGATTTTTATTGCATACAGAATAACTAATTTATTGTAATAAGTAATAATAGTTTTCTCCAACACAAAGAATTGTAAAAACAAATGAGTTGTTTCAACCGGATACTACTATCGAGTTCAATCATTTACATTTGTTACACTATCAATATATTTGAGAATAAAACAGTATTACTTTATGATAACTTTTGTTGTACATTTATCATAGGTAAATCAATCTACTTGTAATATTTGATTCATTTTCTTAAAAGTAGTCTTTAGCAAGCTCGAAAAGATAAAAATTCTTCTGAAAATAATTTATAAAAAGTATTGACTATGCATAGAATATTAGTTTTCGAAATACGGAGAATTTATTACCTAATCTACTTTACTTAGCTATGTAGTTTAATCGAAAATAAAATTGAAAAAGAAGTATCAATAGAGCTATTTTTTCAATAAGAATAATAACTGATAATATCTATTGATATATTGTCTATAATTAATTATTAGAAGGAATGAATATAAATAAATAGTATTCTACAATAAATGTTCTCATCAGTTTATTTATTTTATTATAAATAAATGAAGTGTAGATAGTAAAACATTATTTTTTATTCTTTTAGTTTATTTAAAA